CAGGAAGTGTTGAGTTTCATTCACAGGTGCTATTCTGCTCTTTTGTACAGGTTAGCTTAGCACATAGCTAACAGTAGGAATCCGTAGTAGATTTTAGGGTATTTAGTTAAAATCTTTCTTTTCTTTTGTAAAACTGTGGAAACATTAAAGAATAAAACTTGTAGCTTTCATGAAAGAAAGGCGAGTAGACGTTTTCTTGAGGCTTGCCTGCGTAAGCTAACTTTAACATTGATTTCAGGGAGAAATGCTAATCGGGATTAGCATCTACTACTACAACACAGATGTTGTACTAAAACAGCAGATACACAGAGATATACAAATACATATTTACATAAATACTTACAGACTTTGACCCACAAAGGGCTCCAAAATGTAAAAGTGAAAAGGAACCAACTACGGCAAGAGAGGAGGGATCAAAATACCAAAGGAGAAACAACTGGAATTAATGAGTGAATAAAAACCGTGTTGTGAGACACGGAACTAAATATAAAGATACATACATATGATATAAATGTATATTTATCAAGACAACCAGTGAACCTGGAGGAAGCGTTGAGTTCGTCATGTTTTGGAGGCTTAGTCGAGGTTGTTTACTTTCTTAACGTTTAGTTTCTACATGTTCAGAGTCTCTGTTTGTTTGTTTGAGTTTCAGCTTTTATTTTTAATTTAGTCAGACTCGGACAAAAAAAGCATCTCATTCTGTTTCGAACCGACATCAGACTCCTCCCCCTTCCTCCTCCTCTTCCTCCTCTTTTTTTTTACTCCATCACCCCTCCTCCTCCTCCTCCTCCTCCTCTTCCTCCTCAGCAGTCTCTCAATGACAAGCGTAAAAAGAACCTCTTTTCCCGAAAGTTTCCGTTCTACAAGAGCAAAGAGGCGAGCGAGCAGGAGACCAGCGACGTCGACCGTAAGTATCCCAGAGTGACGTCGTCGAGATGGGGGTGGGGGGGGGGGGCGTGGTCTGTCTGAGAGACGACAGGTAGAGAGGTCAGCTGGTGCTGCTACTGCTAAATGCACCGGTTGTCATGGCAAGGAGGGCGTGGCTAACAGGAACGCACCTGAATCAGTGAAAGATGCTCCTTTGGCTCAGGGAGTCGGAGCCTGTTACTGGAAACATTTCAGCCATGAAGGCAGAATATTTGGTCTCACTAAAAGAAAACTCCTCCTCCTCCTCGGAGCCAAGATGGCCGCCCCGCAGCCCTGCCGACCGGCTGTGTTTCCTCTGCTCTCTCTGTCTGTCGCTGTAACGCTGTAACTTGTTGTTGTTGTTGTTGTTGTTTTCTCCTCGTTGTTCACTCGGCTCTGCTGACCTCAGGACAACAGTGACGACATGCTGTCCAAAGGCCACAGTAAGTGTGTCGCCCCCC